CAGTGAGACATTTCCATGTATAAATTATTACTCAGATGACAGAGGAAAAGTTTTATTGGTTAAAAACATTTTTTTAATCCTCACTTGAGGATATTTTTTATTGATTTTTAGAAAGAGAGAGAAATACTGATGTGAGAGAGAAACATTAATCAGTTGCCTCCTGTATGTGCTCTGACTGGGAATTGAATCCGCAACCTTTTGTTATATGGGACGACGCTCCAACCAACTTAGCCACCCGGCCAGGGCGAGGACAAAATGTTTTCAGTCATAAATGGTAATCCAGGTTATAGTGGAAGGTTTTCAGTAATAAATGGTAAGTCTGGTTATAGAGTAAGAACATTTCCAGTCATAAATGATAACTCTGTAGAAAGAGAATATAATGTTTTCAAACATAAATGATAACTCAGATAATAGAGAAACAGTTCCAGTCATAAATGTTATTTAAGATGACAGAGAACAAAATGTTTTCAGGCATGCTAACTCAGGTGATTGAAAAAGAAGGTTTCCATTGTAAATAATAACTCAGGCTATAGAGAACATTTTTTTGTCATAAATGACAACACAGGTAGTATAGAAAACAATGTTTCCAGTCATAAATAATAACTCAGGTTATTGGGGAAGAATGTTGCCTATCATGAGTAATAAATAAGTTGATAGAAAGCCATTTTTATTCATAAATGACAACTTAGTTGATAGAGAACAAAATGTTTTAAGTCATAAATTAGAGGGAGAATGAGAGTAAGTCATGAGATTAGAGGGAGAATGTTTCCCCTCATAAATAATAACTCAGGTAGTAGAAGAAAAAGATTTCCAGTCATACATGTTATCTCAGGTAATAGAGAACAAAATGTTTTCAGTAATAAATGGTAATTCAGATTAGAGGAAGAAGGTTTCCAGTAAAAAATTATAACTCAGGTGATAGAGGAAGAATGTCTCAAGTCATAAATGATAACTCAGGTGATAGAGATACATTTCCAGCCACGAATGATAATTCAGGTGATACCAACATTTTCAATAATATGGTAACTAAAGGTTTGGAGGAAGGTTTTCGGTCATAAATATAATTCAGGTAATTGAGAAACCAATTGCAGTCATAAATAATAATTCAGGTACCAGAACAAAATATTTTCAATCATAAGTAGTAACTCGGGTTATACAAGAGGAAGGTTTTCAGTCATAAATGACTCAGGTTTTAAGGGAAGATGTTTCAGTCATGAAAGATGACTCTGATGATAAAACAAGAATGTATTCAGTCATAAATTATAATTCAGGTGAAAGTAAAATATTTCCAATCATAAATGATAATTCAGGTGATAGAAACAAAATGTTTCCAGTCATTTTTTTACTCAGGTTATATAGAACAACTATTTTTAGTCATAGATGATAATTCAGGTTATAGAGGAAGAATGTCTCCTGTCATAAATCGTAACTCAGGCGATAGAGAAACATTTCTGATTATAAATTATAATTCAGGTGATTATAAACAAACTGTTTCCACTCATGTGATATCTCAAATTTTTGAGGAAGGTTTCTAGTCATAAATAACTCAGGTCTTAAAGAACAGAATGGTTTCAGTCATAAATGATAACTCAGGTTATAAAGTAGGTTTCCAGTAATAAATGATAATTCGGGAGAACATAATGTCTTCTATCAAATTATGTCAGGTAATAGAAAAACATTTCCAGTCATAAATAACAATTCAGATAATAGAGAACAAAATGTTCTCAGTCCTAATTATAACTAGATCTTCGAGAAAGAGGGTGTCCGGCCTTAAATGATAACCCAGGTGATAGAGAAACATTTTCAGTAATGTGATCATGGTGATAGGAGTCACAGCAAGTGCATCCGCGAAGAGCCACTGGGCCTTACCAGGGCCTTGAGGTGGTGTCTCATGCTAGGAGGCTGAACCTCCAAACGAAGGCCTCAAGGGCCCTGTATGGCAGGAGTATGTAATCGTCACATTCAGTCCTGGATATTACTTACTGCGCTGTGCCATTTCCACAGCAGGTGTGAGAAGCTTCAACCAGAGGGCAGGTGTGTGACGGTTAAACTCAGTGATGTCAGTTCTTGCTCAGAGCACAGGGGGTGGCAATGTGGGGGCCATTTTCATTCACTCAGGCTGCATAACTTTCCACATGTGGCCCAGGTGATCTGTCCTTGGAAGCTCTATGTATCCCACCCCTTATTCCCACAGGCCACACCAACAAAAGGGAAGCTGGGAAAGTGCTGGACGATCAGGGGTAGGATTTGGGGAGTACCATCTCTGCCGTGATCTCTCCAGCCCACCCTATCATGCGTCTCTACTGGCTTCTATGCCACCTCATCTTTCCCAGGGCTGGGGCCATCAGCTCGTCATGATAGCCCCCTGCAGTGCCAACCCAGAGTAATGTTCCCAAAGTTAGGCATCGGCCTTTCCACAACTCCCCTCAAAAAGCATAACCCTGTGCCAATTCTCTCTAAGGCCTGTGCAGAAGGGGTCTGGGGCCTCCTCTGTGGGCTGGGCCAACAGAAGCTGAGGCTGCTAGAACCTCTGTACAGTGGAGCTTCCAGGAGCTGAATGCGACATTTCCACTGACCCATGTCATTAGGATTGACACACTTGGCAGTCAAGGCGATGCCAATACTGGGTCCCTAACTGGGGATGAGAGTCACCCTATTGGGGAAGGCCAAGTGGAAACCTCAGAAACCAATCTCATATTGGAGGCAGGGTATGGGGTATACCCATCCTCAATGTTCACTCACGGCCCAGCCCTGAAGAAACCAATGACTCTGGCATGCCCACTGACTCCCTCAGGCTTGGCTGAGCTGTGGTTCCATCAGCATGTCCCTGCACCTCTGTGCCAGGTGTGGCAGCATGGCTGCAGGGCCTCATGGCTGTAGTGCCCCATGGGGCTCAGGTCCATGGCTCATGCCCACTAATTTGGAGGACTCAGAAAGGGCCAGATGTGGTCACATGCACATGGCTTCCTGAATGATGCTCTCTCCCTTGCCTTGTCTTATGACCCTGTGAACTTCCTGAGGACAGCACTCTGGTCTGCATCACCAAGGAAGATTGAGTGGCCCCCCACAGAAACATGGCTACACCCACCCCTTCACAAACCTGCCTGTTGTGGGCAGGGCAGCCCCTCCCCATCCTTGCCCTGGACCAGTGGGAGCGGCTAGCCTTGCCAGGCAATGTGCATCTCAGGGATGTTGACTGCATCCCAGAACGTGCCCATGACAGCCTGTGCAGGGTCAGGAGCCTGGGTTCTGTGTCCTCTGCCTGGGGTCCCAGGTATGACCCCCTCCTCATACCTTGGCCCTCCCATCTCAAGCAGGGGCCTCCTCTGGAAGGACGGGTGGGTGTGGGGATGGCCCACGTCCCTTCTCTTTACACAGGTCTAGGTCTAGTGAGCTAAGTCCTGAGGAGGCATGTTCCCATACACTGTTCCACTCTCTCCCCTGCAGACACACACACATGCAGCTATCCATAAACACAGTCACAAGGACAGATGCACATATGCACACATCCAAAAACATGAACACATATGGCTTGTAGGGAGGATAGAGGGGTCTGAGGGGCCTGAACAGGGACACATGGCCTGGCTGGCCACCTCTGCTGACCACTTTCCACCCTGGGGCCTTGCTGAGCCCTGAACTCCCTCTGTCCATCTCACAGAGTGGTGTCGCCCTCTAGTGCCCCATGGGCAGACGTGTCAGCCACACCCACAGAACCTTGAGAACCCACTTCCTAGGAAAGGAGTCTAGGTCTGTTGGACGGACTCCAGCACACATCTCTCATCCTCAGTGGACAGGGCCTGGGCTCTAAGGCTGTGCCCCATCTCTCTCTGAGTGCTCTTCCCCATCTGCCTTCCTTCCTGTGTCCATCTTTTCATCCACAGTGCCCTAGGCTCTCCCTCTCCCCCAGACCTCTTCCTTCACCTGGGAACCTGGACGTTGGGCATTTCAGCAGCAAACCCATGAAATGAAGTTTCATGGTCCCTGCCTACTCCAGCCTCAATCCTAGGTTATGGAGCGCCCCACCCCCTTCTCTCCCAGTGCCCAGACCCCACCTTAACTCCCATTACAGGGTCTTTAGGAAACCACGAAGCCAGGCCCTGGCTCCAAGGCAGAAGTCACTGGATTTGGCTCTGGATCTGGCTAAAGCCAAGGACAGCAGATGGCACAGAGACAAAACCTGTGTGCGCCACGGCCTTGGGGGGGTCTTCCACCATGAAGCCTGAGAGAAACCCTCCCCACAGCTGTGTGTGCCTCTTCCCTTTATCCTCAAAGCATAAGACAGGTTAAAAGTTAAGTAATCATGGGAGCAATTTTAAAATAATATCCAAACAGATTAAGAGTGATAAGAAAAACAAAATGAGAAAATTATGAAAAAGATTTTTAATACTTAAAAAGTTATATAACAAAAGGTAACACATTCTTTTAAAAATGTATACAAAACACTAATATAAAATTTATTTTAGCATGAGATAAAAGCAAAACATAATATTCTGTGGAATATACCAATTTTTGGCCAATTTATTCACATCTGGCGATGTGAATGTTCACCTGGACGTGATAACATCGCTGAGCAGACGGAGAAACACTGCTGCGCTCGCCTGCGCTGGCTCTGAGGGCGTCTGACGCGCGTCAATGAACACAGGACTGCACCTTTCCACACAGAGGACCGGGCCTGACTGGGAAGAACACTTTACCTAGGACTTTTGTCTTGATTTCTAGAACACAGGAATAGGTTTTCCTTAGGCATTAGTCTTTGAAATGTCTACTAAACAAAACAAGCTCACTTCAGAGAGCAAATGCCACCTTCTAACTTATTATGTACATTTTTAATACTATGATCACATTCTTATTTACAGCAATGTAGTTTCTCCTGTCTCCCTAACCTAGGTTAATCATCATTTTTTAAACAAAATTTGTCAACATTTGTGTCCAATTGACTGTAGGCAGGATGAAATAAACATATCCAGACAGTTCTTTACAAAGACACAACAGAACTTGAACTATTACCCTTTAAAACAGTGAAAATGACAGGCCACTTGCCTTCTAATTTCCATTTAGAAATTTGTAAATACAGCACACTTCTTTTAATGCTTGGTGCTGCACATTTATGCCATGCTGTATGGGGATTCCCGGGGAAGTGACCTCACTGGCTGTAGTCATGATTTGAAAAGCACAGGTAGGGGGCCTAGCTCAATCACAAGAGGAAAGCTTCTTTCTCTCTTCAAACTGCTTGTCCACTGCCAGAGACAGGGCCTGGAGGAAACCCTCGATGGTGACGGTGGGAGCCTGGAAGGGAATGAAGGAATTGTGAGGTGACCCTTGTCCTTGGGGGCCACCAGCAACACCTATCCCATCCATGACGCTGACATCAGAGGGGGCAACTCCAGGCCACTCTGTGAGCTGAGCCCAGACCTGAGGGGCATGAGCACATCTGAGGAGGCTTGGATGTGAGCTCTTGAGACACACAGCACGACCACCTCCTCCCAAAGGGCTTGAAAGGGCCCTACCACGAAGGCATCAAGGCTAGCGCCTTCTACAGCCCCAGGAACCTGTCCCTTTAGAAATGGAGGAAAAGAAGGCAGATATCCCAATGGTATTAAGTTTGACTTCCGAGAAAGGCCACATCCTGCTGGACAGAGTGGGTGGTAGTGAGGAGCACACAGCAGCAGAGGACGGCTGTGGAAGACTTACCTGAATGTACAGCGCATGAGCCAGAAAAGGGAGTTTTCTTAGGACACGGCCGCTGAGGCCCTCACTCTTCCTGTGAATGTAAATCAAATTTGGGGACGTCGATTCCACGTGAACAGTTGTGTTTCCCCACACCTGTCTCTCAATGTCCCTTCTCCCAAAACCCCTCCAATGGGGCTTGTCTCCCTTAGTCCTCAGCTACTGCTCCAGGTGGGAGGGTCCTTGCTGACCTGATGTGCCACTGACAGGCACTGTTGTGCTCAGGGACCACTATGCCTGCCCAAGGGCACGCATTACCTCATGATGTCTTTATGAAATTTTGCACAAGTTTCTGAACTGTTCCCCTTGTCCCACCTCAATTGGTTTAAATCTCAACAGATTAAAAAAAAAAAGAAATCTTTAAAAAAATGCTGTTCTTGTCCTGGCCAGCATGGCTCAATTGGTTGGAGCGCCGTCCCGTGCACTAGAAGGTCACGAGTTCGATTACCGGTCAGGGCACATACCCAAGTTGCAGGTTCGATCACTGGTTGAGGTAACTGATAGATGTCTCTCTCTCTCTCTCCTCTTTCTTCCCACTCTAAAAGCAAAATGTGTGTTTGTGTGTGTGTATGTAAAAGATGATAATACTATTCTTTATGCTATCTCTTCATTCGAAACCTTCCACATGCTTACGATCTCAGAATAAAGTTCAAACTCTCTGGTCAGAACTCAGAAGCTTCCCCCACTTGGCCCTCAGCAGTGCAAGCCACCTGAGGTCCCTGCACACAGATTTCTCTCGTTTATCTGAATTCTAACTGTCTTTTGAAGCTCTGCTCCATTTTCCCACCTTCCCTGAATCCCCAAAGCCACCTGAGACCTTGAAAGCACTACTGGCCCAGGACCTCCATCCTCTAGTCCAGGGACCTGGAACCTAGAGGGCTCTCGGAGCTTCCCCAGACTGTGAATGATGACTCGGGATTCAACTCCCAGTCCTCTGACCCCCAAACCACTACCCAAGATGGCTACAGTCAATTATGACTCCCCATTACTAGAGCATATGGACTTTTCTTGGATACAAAAATTAGATCCCCTCACACCTTGAAATTTCACTCAAAAGGAGGCTCAACTTTGACACGTTGTTTTCAATGAAGCCAATCATCTCCAGCTCGCGGAGGGTCAGCAGCTGCTGGCGAGGGTATATGATCTGACACTGGGAAGACAGGGAGCAGAATGCATGTGGTCAGCAACAGGACAGCACTAAGAGAGCAAACATAAACCACATCTCATCTTATAAAAATGCAAACAGGGCCCTGGCCGGTTTGGCTCAGCAGTTAGAGCGTCGGCCTGCAGTCCAGAGAGACCCAGGTTCGATTCCCACTAAGGGCATGTACCTCAGTTGTGGTTTATTCCCAGCCCTGGTTGGGTCATGTGGGAGGCTGCCACTCGATATGTCCCTTTCACATCGATGTTTCTCTCTCTCCCTCCCACTCTATCTGAACAAAACATGGAAGAATGTCCTCAGGTGAGGATTTAAAAAAAATGCAAACAGGTCATCTAAAAAGCACAGCTGACCAAAAACCAGGCTGATTTCCCCTCTCTCTTGCTGGTACACATGCACACCCTACCCCTCCCCATTACGTCCTCCCTGATTCCTCATAGGCAAGAATACAAACAACAAAACATGTCTCAGAAAACAGCAGTGACCTAGCCTCTTCTGTGCTTTTGGCCAAAATGTGTCCTCACCACGTGTCAACATGGGAGTCCAGTCTGGCATTCAGTTTCAAGGATATGACACAACCCACAGATGGCAGAACTGGGCTCTAAAGCCAGGACTTCACTTGCCTTTCAAGGAGGGTCTGTGTTTGTTGTTTTTAAGATAAGACTCTCATTTGGTGGAATGACACAGACCCAGGGTTTGAGTCTCAGAGTTCACCTTGCAGACCACAGGTCTGCGCTTTGGACGCTCTTTGCCAAGTAGCCATACTGAACGGTTAGAATGCCACAATGACCACCACTAAATGAATTTTAACATGAACTATTGAAATTAGGGAATTAGGAGAGGAGAAAGAAAGAATGGCTTCCACACATTTGTGAGGTTTGGGGAGGTTGTGGGTAAACTTAAGAAACAGGGTTTGCCTTGGCCGGTTTGGCTCAGCGGTTAGAGCGTCGGCCTGCGGTCCTGAGAGACCCGGGTTCGGTTCCCGCTAAGGGCGCGTACCTCGGTTGCAGTTTGTCCCCGGCCCTGGTCGGTTGTGCAGGGTGGCAGCCACTCGATGTGTTCCTTTCACATTGATGTTTCTCTCTCTCTCTCTGTTCCTCTCTCTCCCTCCCACTCTACCTGAACAAAAAATGGAAAAATGTCCTCGGGTGAGGATAAAAAAAAAAGAAACAGGGTTTGTGTGTGATGTATTCTGATCCCTCCTAACTGACTGACTACTTCAGGCTCCCTTTAGCCTCCCGAACTGCCCCCTGCGACCCCTCCATTGACAGGCACCGTCCCGTATGCTTGTGTAAGAATGGCAGACCTCAGGATCTTGACAGAGAGGGCCACAACCACTTGCCAGCCTTTAGGACCAGCCAAATCTCCAGTACAACATTGGAATATCTGTATGAGAAACTACCCCTGCCCACATGCTCAGCTCCCAGGAAAGTCCATGCACCTGACTAAACCGTAGAACATCCCCGGATTCACAGCACACGTGTGAGTGATGGCACACTGAAGGCACTCGGTGACTCCAGCAGAATCTGCCACCACGCTGGCTCCTTGGCAGCAGTACTGAATTACAACATTTCTGATGATCACTTGGGGTCTCAAGTCAAAGTTCCATGGGGCCACTCTCCCTCTCCCACACCACAGAAAAGTAGGACAAAAAGTGCACGGCAGTCCTGAGACCAACTCTCCTGTCCCTGTCACAGAGGCTGTGTCATCCTTGAGGATGTTGGGGTTCAGATCCATGGTGCCAGGAGGTGGCTACAGGGGGCGGGGTTCATTCTACCACTCAGCAATTATAGTAATGCCATTACTATCATCACCATGTAAATGCCCATATGTTGGCTGGCTTGGTTACTGCTCATGCCCCGCCCAGTGACCAGAGCTCCTGGCACCAGCACACGTCAGGCCTGGTTAGACTGAGTTATAGGACTGACTGTGAACATTACTTTGCACACTGCTGCTGCACTCACTACTATCACTAGAACATGGGACCAAAGGGACATGAACACTGTAGCCAATGACAGCCTGTGAACGTCTGGTTAGGATGACTTCCCTGCAAACTATGACCTCCAGTTAAATGACCTCCCTCTCAACTATGACCTCTAGACAGATGAATTCCTGTGAACTAGGATCTCCTGTCAGATGACCTCCCTTTGAATAATGACCTCCAGTCAGATGACCTCAGTGTGAAGGACCTTGCAGTCAGGATGACCTCCCTGTGAACGAGGACCTCTACTGTTGTTTCAGGGGAGAAAAGAGGCCCAGAGAGTGGGTCACTTGCAAAGGCCATACAACCAGAACTTACCAGAAATGCTAACCACAGGCCACACCCCTCCCACTCACTTATCACCAGCAGGTAAATCTAACAACCATGATGATCATTTTGTGCCAAAAGAGCAAAAATATTGAGTCACTGGCCATAATTTTGACTATTAGCACAACCTGCCAGATACAACAAACTGAAATTTCAATCTAAGAAAATGGTTAAATGCCATGTCACGATACCTTACTCCTTATTGGAACCATTTCAAACTATGTCAGGGAATTAGGAAATAATAAGTCTAGTGCTTAGTAGAGAGGGGGAAAAAAAAATCAAAGTACCTTCATCAGTTCTTCCAAACAAGAAAGGTAGATTTTGAAGATGGCTGCCACAGAGGGTGGTCCAATATACTGCCTGATGTCAGCCCTGTCCACAAAGGCCACGTCAATCCTCTCTGTGATGTTGGAAGTAGTCAGTATCACCACGTTGGAGTGCCTGGAAGAGGAGTGAGGACCAGTCACCCTGTGATTCTATTATACCCTACCCTACACATGGACTGTCGAATGCTCTTGCAGTTTCCGGGCATTTAGCTGTCGTTCGGCTAGCTATACTTCCTGTCCCAATACCAGCCCACAAGTCCTCCTGAGATCTAGTAACTCTGAACTCCTGGCCACAATAGAGCATGCCAGGCCAATTCTCCAGGACCTTTGCTCTGGTCACTTCTCTGCCTTCTGGAAAGCTCTCCTAGACACTTGCTGGCTGTTCCCTTACTTCTTTCAATTGTAGTAAAGGTTTAATCTGTGTAGAGCATCCCTGACTGTCCCATCTCCTGAACCCCCAGCACCCACACCCTGCCTGCCCAGGCACAGCCACACACTGCTCATCACATAGCTAGCTCTCAGCTACAGCATGGGACTGAATTATTTATCCCCTTTACCAGCTGCTTCCCCTTCTAGCTTCCAAATTCCAAGGGAGCCACCATCACAACTCTGCTCACCGACCGGGGCCGGTATAAGGTGCCCTGGGGAGCAAGTTTCCCAGCCTGGTGGGATTGGGCACCAGGGACGTGGCAGTGCTGCCCTCAGGGCCAGTGGTCAGCATACAGATGGTCCAAAGGCAGCTGTATGGCCAGGGAGCACCTAGGAAGATTAACTTTACCTGGACTCTGTCAACAGGTGTATAGCCCTCTGCAGGGTGAACAGAGTGGCAAGTCAAATGAGGGCAGGGATGAAAGCACAGGGGTCCCAGGAACCTGGGCAGAAGGGACTGGTGTAGAGGCTGGGTGAGTAGCACCCAACTGGGGATGCAGAGGGAGCACATGGCTGGAAATGTGTCCCAGGGTGGGCTTTGTTACAAATGGTCTAACCCACACAAAGGCAGGTGTGCAAGGATCACCCAGACAGGGACATGAATCCCGGATGTGAAGAAAGTGAGGCAAAGGAGGTGAGGAACCAGAGGCATATTTGTCTCTGCTCCTTCCTGAGCCCACATACCCCTGTGATAGAAGTGTCAGGGGGACCCCATGTCTAGGCGAGCAGTGGGTGCATGGCATGGTCATCAGTGTCATGGGCACTTGGGGTTTCAGGGCCAAATAAGAAGCTTAGGAGTGTGTCTGATGTCTGGTCATGGTGGACACACAGATCTGTGATGGGGACTTGCCCACTAGAACAGTAAGTGATGCTAGAGGACAGAAGGCTATGAAGAGGCTATGCAGGGACCCCAAGAAGAGACGGCAGGGAAACACCAGCAGCAGAAACGGAGGTAGTCAGGAGAGTGAAAGCGGCGGAGTCGAATGCTGCGAAAATTTCGAGAAAGAGAAAACTGAGCACTAAGGTGACCGAGGTGTAGTGGCAGGGCTAGACAGCAGACTGAGGAGCAAGTCAGAGAGGATGGAAGTAGCAACAAGGAGAAGCTACACTTTCCACAGGCTTGCCTATAGAAGGGTGAAAAGCAAGAGGCTTCTTTCTGCAGCTGACCTCACCAGACAATTGCATCTCTGGGAAGCTAGAGATATTCTCTATTGTAAAACAATGGTAAAGGCCGGGATAAGCACAGTTTAGTTCGCTGTCACTCCACATTCAATAAGCTAGCTTCTGAATGATGCACTGGAGCCCTGGCATCCTGGAAGCAGAAAGAGACCCTGGAGAACAAACATGAGGACTCTGATTGAAGGGAGTATTGAAGTCCTGCAAAGAATAGGTGGGGGTTCTGGTTTGGACATTACTTCTGTGTGAGTCAGGTTAGTAGGAGTTGTTTTCCAAAGCTGGATCAGCTTTGGATACATTAAGCACAAGCCCTGGACCTGCAAGGCTGGACTGTGGAGACATGAAATCTGGCCCCATGAAGGGTGAGCAAATGATGCTCCACCTGCCCAGTGTCAGCCCCTCAATCACGGTGCACCTACTTGTGCTGGAGCTGATGCATGAGCGCAGCAGTGTTCACTCATTGTATGCTTATCTGCATGGTGTGTTTTCACCATGCAGACATTTAACAGTATTAAAAATACCGTTTTACATTTTTAATACTTTAATAAAGTAAAAAGTGCTTAATTTCTAAAAAATACATTTAGTATATGCTGCCTCAAGAGTGAAAAAAGAGCAACACTCAATGCCAGAGACATTTTTAGTTAGAAGAGCTGAAGTATGGTCTAGAGGTGTGTAATCTTCACACATCTTCTTTTTCAAAATTTATTTATTGATTTTTAGAAAAAGAAAGGGAGGGAAGAGGAGGGGAGAGAGAGAGAGATATCTACTTATTATTCCACTTATTTGTACGTTCATTGGTTGATTCTTGCATGAGCCCTGACCGGGGATTGAACCTGCAACCTTGGCATATCAGGACGATGTTCTAACCAACTGAGCTACTTGGCCAGGGCCCTCACACATCTTCTCTGTGACTTCTCACGTAAGGTCACTGTGTATCAGAGCCTTTACAGCCATATGCTGCACAACGTTTTGGTCAACAAGGAACTGCACAACAGTGGTGGTCCTATAAGATCATAATGGATTAGAAGCAAAAGGTTTATATGCAATGTTAAAAGAAAAGGCTAGACCTGACTAGTGTTAAATTTACTGCTTAGCTGGGTGGTTTAAATAGACAAGGAGGCTCAGTATGCTGTCCTTCCACTGTGCACCTACCCATGGCTAGGGCCCCAGAGTTGGCAACAGAGAGGAGGGGAGCCCGGGAGTCCACCCACCCCTGCACACATTCACGCACACAAACTCACTTTCTGTTTCTCCCTTTTATTATTTCTTGACTCAGGCTTTATTTCTCTGGGTCTCTTTTAATCTCTACTCTCCCTTTCTCTCCTCCCGACATCTATTCTCCTTCCAGTGCTTCCCTCAACAGCCCTCCCCCTGCTCCCTCATATATATGTATGTATGTATGTATATATTCTTGCACATATAAACTTCCTCTTTTATATTTTTACTGGATCTTCTTCATGTTTAGGTTCTGTTCAAATACACAAATACTTACCATGTGTTATAATTGCCTACAGCATTCAGTACAACAGCATGCTGTACAGACTTGTAGCTGAGGAGTAACAGGCTGTATCATACAGCCTAGGTGTGGAGAGGGCTATGCTATGCTGTCTGGGTTTGTGTAACTGCCTCTATGATGTTCACAGAACAAAACCACCTAACAATACATTTCTTAGAATGTACCACCATTGTTAAATGGCACATGACTATATTACCTTTTAATTTGATCGATTTGGGTCAAGACAGCATTGACCACACGGATGGCATCTGAAGGCTCAGTGCCTGCCCTACAGGCATTGCGGGAAGCTGTGAGGCTCTCCACCTGTGGGAACATAGCAATGGATAAAAAAAAAATCACAGCACCCAGCCCCTCGGGGCAGCCATGGAACTTGTCAACTGAGCAAGAGAACGAATAAATGAAGGGGTGTCCAGGTGTGCCAGGAGCTTAATATGTGGGAGTGCCAAGGAGAACAGGACTGCATGAGACAGTGAAGGCCCAGTGGAGGCTGGACTGAGCAAGGGTCTGGTTACACCTCAGCAACAAGAAGAGGCATTCAGTCTTGAATTTCCTCCACCATAGGTTTAATGTCTGAATGTGCCTACCTCATCGATCAGCACGAACACCAGAGCATCTTTGTCATCAATTAGATCCTGGATCTTCTGGAACATCTTAGTTACTAGCTTGCCACTCTGAAACCAAAACACTCTAAGTGTTGATCTGTACTCATCATGCTGCCTGATGCACACATATCCCCTTCTGGCATCACTCTAACCCCAGGTGCTCCTGCAAGCCCACCGTCTCCTGATGGCCCTTGGAGAACTCCCTAAATCAGAGAAGCCAGGTCTGCAGGGGTGGAGGTCAACCCAAATGACCTCTCTCCCTGCTTCATGTGCCAGGACAATGAAATTTGAGCCCACACTGACTCCTGTAAAGGGCAATGTGGCTCACCTGTCTGCCTTCCTCTTACTTCCCCTTTCCCAGCTGTCCTCACAACTGGGAACGAGATGAATCATGGGTGCAAACATGCAAACCAGGCAGGTGCACCTCTTACAGACACTCCCATCCACCAGAAGGGCCTACTGACAGGGTTGCCTGGGGCAGAGCACTTCAGAGATGAGAAATATCTATGATGTCACCTTGTTCAAGCCCCTCAGTTCACAGATGGTGGAAAAAGGCTCAGAGCCCTGAGGGCATGCTCAGCTGAGGGGTGCAGTCCAGGTTAGAACTTGGGATGCCCTCCCTCCTCAGACAATGTTGAATGTCCTGTCCGCTCCCCACCCCCACCCAAAGGTCTGGATGTGCCCAACCTTTTGGGACTCAGACTATTTCCAAGTTACTGCTTAGCTCTGAAATTTTCCTCTGACCATAAAGTCAGCTGCACAGAAAGTTTGCCTTATATACAGGCCACCTTTTCAACTACATGGTTAACAATCCAGAAAATTAGAATTAATATTAATACTTACTTCTGAAAACCACTTAGAAAAGAGGCTATGGCTGTTTATTTCAATTAACTGGCCATACCGGTACCTATGATGATAAAAAAGAGTTAAGACAATTACTTTACAAATTAGTCGTCCAGTAACCCCAGTGGCAGCACTTTTACTCATTAAGTACATCTCTCAGCTGCCCAGTGTGGTGAGCATTACTGACTTGTTAAGTCATTATAATAACTGACAAAGAATCGAGGTACCTAGCAAAATGCATACTAAATAAGTATGAAAAACCTAACAATGTAACCAACAGTTCTGGTTGAAGCAAATTAAGTTTTTCAAATTGAATGTTTTCATTTGAATTAAAACAAAAGCAAAATCTCATTTTTAAAAAAATCCTCACCTGAGGATATTTTTCCATTGATTTTTTAGATAGAATGGGAGGAAAGGAGACAGAAACATCGCGCTGTGAGAGACAAACCAACCGACCGCCTGTTACATGACCCTGACCGGGGCCAGGGATCAAACCTGCAACCAAAGTATGTGCCCTTGACTGGGAATCAAACCCAAGACTCTTCAGTCTGCGGGCTGACGCTCTAATCACTGAAGCAAACCAGCCAGGGCAAAATCCCTCTCCTTTTTAATCTACTTGTAATTTATATTTATGTTTAAAAAGTTCTACTTGGTACTAATACAGCAAGCAAATCTAAATAAGCATCAGAAGTTTTGGCTGGAGCTGAATATTTTTTCCTCCTTCTACAAAACCTTAAAGACTGTGACAATTTGTTTTTCAGCACAAACTCTAGCACCCTGGATAGTCAGATAGCAGAAAGTAAACCTTAACACACTAGCTGAATACTACCCAGCACTAATACTCATTGCTTAGGAGGCGGCCGAGAGGTCTGGATGCTCTTAGTTCTATTAGAATCACACAGGAAACCAGACTGAGGCAAGACAGAAGCTGACTCCCAGGTCCTCCCCATAGTCTCTTTCATGTGGAAAGTCCAGAGAAGGAAAATAATTATTTTCAAAAAGTATCACCGACTTTCCATTTAAAAAAGAGAAAAAGACCATTTACTAATTCTGTTTACAAAAGAGGGGAGAGGGAAGACAGACAACATAACAAAATAAAGACTGGGTTGAGTATTAAACCAAGTTAATTATAAAGCATTTTGATTAAGTGAGCGACAAAGGCTTCCTAAGGTTTTATGCAATTTACAAGACACAGAATAATTATATTATTTTGAGATCTTTGTATAGTCATGCGTCACTTAATGATGGGAATAAATTCTGAAAAATGCATGGTCAGGCAATTTCGCCATTATGAGAATATCACAGAGGCACTTACACAGACCTGGGTGCACTGCCCACTGCATAACCAGACTTTATGGTACAGCCTAGTGCTCCTGGGCTACCAGCCTGTTACTATGCAAAATACAATGAGATGAAATCAAGCACAAGAGAAAACGATGCAAAAAGAGACACAGTAAACATGAGATAAACGAGGCCAGCAAAACATGGCTACCGTTTTACAGCAAACGTTTTTTATGAGCGGAAAGCATACATTCTAAAATCATGATTAAAGTACAGTATAGTAAATACACAAACCAGTTACATAGTTGTTTATCATCATTATTAAGTACTATGTACTGTCCATACTTTATGTGCTATAATCTTTTTAAAAAATGTTTTTGATTTCAGAGAGAGGAAGGGATAGGGAGAGAGAAACATCAATCAGCTGCCTCCTGCATGCCCCCTAAACCTGGGCATGTGCCCTGACCAGGAATCAACTGGTGACCACTTGATACAAGGGATGATGCTCAACCAATTAAGCCACACCAACTAGGCTGTGCTATTCTTTTATACAACTGGCAGCTCTGTGGGTTTGTTTATACCAGCATCACCACAAATACATGGGTAATGCTATGCTCTGATGTTATAATGGCTACAATGTCACTAGACAATAGGAATTTTTCAGCTCCATTATATTCTTACTGAACCATACAGGCAGCCTGTCACTGACCAAAAGGTAGTTATAGTATGCATGACTGTACTGGGAAAACTTCTATTTCTTGTAAGAACATTTTCACTCTCTGGTGTTTTAGAAAACTGTCTTTAGAGATCTTTAAAACACAGGTGAATTTCAATACGTCAAGACGAAGGCCAAGTTGCTAAGCATAAAATAAAGGGTTGAGCCTGGCCAGTGTGGCTTAGTGGTAGAGCGTCGACCCATGCATCAAGAGGTCACCAGTTTGATTCCCAGTCAGGGCACATGCCCAGGTTGTGGGCCCGATCCCTAGTGGGGGGCATGCAGGAGGCAGCCAATTGATGTTCTCTCTCATTGATGCCTCTATCTCTATCTCCCTCTCCCTTCCTCTCTCTCTAAAAATCAGTAAAGAAATAAATAATAATAAAGGGTTGAAATAAAGCAATTTCCCTATGTAAAAATACTTACAGGACATTTTGAAAAGAAAGTAGATATTGAAAAGTAAACCTCATAAGATTTCCTTTCCAAAAGCCAAACAGGAGTAACAGGTACCAGATTTACCCTCTGCCTTCACCAATTACAACACTGGACAGAATAAATGAAACAACATCTGTGGAGGGCACTGGACAATAGGCACTGGAGGACTGTGACCTGCGAGAAGGGAAATAAAGCAAGCGCTATAATCCACCAGCTTTCTCTGCCTTGAGCACCTGGAGAGGACACAAGAAGAGCACAACCATCGTGCTGAATTGAGGAGACAGAGGTCAGAGTTCAAAGAGCCTGAAGCAGGAAGAGGCTTCAGAACAGAGGTCCAGAGGAGAGGAAGATTTTCAGGAATAAAGCACTAGAAATCATCCTGGGGTTCGTCTGTATCTATACTGAACACAGAGAAATCCACAAGGCCCTCCAGATCTGTGAGCTGAATGGTTCCCAGTGCTCACAAAGATTGGGTGTGTTCAAGTTCTCAACAGCCAAAGTGGAGAATACTTGTTACTCATTCAAGGTGTTCAACTGAGACCCCAGGAGGGGCCCACTTGAGAATTAAAACTGGACTACACCTAGATCCCTCTCTAATAAAGCTTAAAAACAAACCTAAAAAGGATCAGAACATATCATAAGGAACTGAAATACCTACCAGAACAAGACCCAACAATCTTGAGAACCCAGACACTTCAATCCCAATGTCCTCAAACAAAAATTACCTGACATGACAAGAGCATAAAATGTGACTGTAACCAGAAAAAAACACAGTCAATAATAATGATTAAGGATTTAGTCAACAAGAACATTAAAACACCTATTATAAACTTGCTCAAGGATTTTAAAAGAACATAGTAAGTGAAAAGTATAAACAGAACCAAATGGAACCCCAGAGGAAAAAAAAATTCACTCTCAGAAATGAAAATTTCACTAAATGGAATTAAAGCAAATTAGATACTGCAGAAAACGGTCCAAAGTGAAACGTAGAAAAAATTTAAGACCTGAAAAAAAGAAAGTGTATCAGTGGCCTATGGGACAATATCACTCAGTCTAACATGCAAATTAATGGACTCCCAGAAAAGGGGTGGGGTTGTGGTAAGGGGATGCAGAAAGATCAGTTAAGAATATAATGGCCAACTATTTTCCAAATGTAATGAAACCATAAACCCCAAGACAGATGGAACTCAAGGAGAAACAGACAAATCCACCATTAGAGGCTTGGCCATTCCTTTCCAGGGACATCAAGTATCCTGAGCTGTAATCTGAAACATTCCACCCAAGGAAAGCAGAAACATGTTCTTCGAGGTGCACATGGAACAGTCAGGACAGACTACTTATTGGTCATTAAGCAAGTCTCTATACATTTAAAAAGACTGAAATCATAACTCAAGACTATGTTGAGTATAGAGAAATTAATTTACAATGAAAGAAAAGGACCTACTATTCATGTAAAGTTATTAAAAAATAAAGACAGCTTCCGCTATTATAAAGGAAAAGAGGGGAATTCCATTCCTGCTATTCTGCTCTCTCAAATCTGCTTGAAAAAGTTACCTACTCTCAGGTTACCTGCTTGAAAGTCGAATGGTCAATTTCTGGGCAAGGGCTCTACACAGGGATGTTTTCCCAGTTCCTGGAGGACCTGTAACAAAATTGAAGCACATGTGTGTTTAAGTAAATGCTGTAACAAATTTCTTAAAACAGCAGCAGCTGCATTTTCCACAGAACACAAAATAAGCAGAGAGGTCAATACTATGAATGTTATTATAAGCACTGCTTGTTAATTCACAAAGAAATCTGCTAGCAGAGTAAGTGCCATAAAATAGTACCAATACACTTTAAAAGTTTTTCTTCCTAATTTGAATAGAACTTGTGCTTCTCGTCTTAGCTTCCACTGCCTCAGACACAAGCCCTGCTTCTGGGCCCCCTGCATTTCCTGGTCTGTCTTCACTAACAACCTCCTTTCCTGTCCTCTAGGAAATTCACTTATCAAGGCACCTTTCAATGATCAAACCCACCTTTCTTGCTAATCATTAGGACTCAGATGTGCTCACAGCAGCACATCTTTCACTACGCCTATTTCTACATGGGCCTGCACCCCATACTAAACCAGAGGGTGAAGGCCAGGATTCTTGATTGTATATCTTCTTGTTCAGTGTGTCACCAAAGCATGCCTTGCAAAAGTTCTGAGGTGACCAACGTGGAAGAACAAATGCATCTAATAAAAAATGCTGACATGTTCAACACTGATTTTCTGCAAACATTTATTTTTTTTTCTTAAATCCTCACCTGAGAGTATTTTTGTTTATCTTCAGATAGTGTGGGAGGGAGGGAGAGAGGGAGAGCGAGAGGGAGAGAGAAACACTGATGTGAGAGGAACACATCGACTGGTCACCTCCTGCATGACCCTGACCAGGGCCAGGGACAAACCGCAACCGAGGTACGTGCCCTTGACCAGAATCGAACCCACTACTCACTGGTCGGTGGGCCAACGCTCTACCACTAAGCTAAATCGGCCAGGGCTGCAAACATTTTCAATAATAAAATAGGAAATATATAACAAGTTCTAAGTGAAAAATAATTGAAATACCTATTGATTGCCTACTCTGATCCTGGTATCAGAATAATGTGCTCAGGTATCTGCTACTTAAGACACACCTTTTTAAAAGGTGTATATAAGTGTACAATCTTAACTGGTATAAAGAGGCTAGTTACTCTGAGCTCCTCCCTCACTATAATTTGGGTATCCTAGCTGTCTTTCCATCCAGTGTTAAGAAAAAAACCCACTATCTTTTTCTGAGAAGAACCAGATAGAATTTCTGTAAAGTATGATTTTGTACTTTATAAAGCAAAGCTCTAAGAATGCTACAAAGAAATATGAGGAAATTTCTTTTCCAAGGAGTTTATGATCAGTTGGGGAATAAGAGTTAATTGAAAAGTTTAATAATAATATAAAGTCACCAGGAAGTAATTGGGTGGCTGCCAAATGAAGGGTCAATTACCAAATGCCCAGAGTAATGTAAGCTGCACGGGCTTCACAGAAAAGGAACATTCCAGGATAACTCTAGCTCCACCAGAACAAAACTGCTGTCAACTCCTCGCAGAAGGACAGAGGTGTGAGTGAAGTCTGACGTCACACAGTCTATCTCGTCAAATGCAACCCCACAAGCTTTACCGTGAAGCAGCACTACCCGGTTCCAGGTGATGAGATTGCTGTCAACATTCCTGTCTGAAAACAGTAGCGCAGTCATCACATAATCGAGGAGCTGAGTGAAGAAAGGAAAAATGCTGATAAAGGAGCTGAGAGGCAAAGCTCCCACTATATGTTCTCCTACATGAGTGGCAGGGACAGGAGCAAGGCAGCCCTCCAGAGACTGCATAAAGGATAAACACAGAGATACTTTTATTTAGAATGCCAAGATCACACAAAATAACTAAGGGACCTGTCAAATGGGAGTAAGCTCCTTCCTCTGGGCTACAGCAGCAGGCAAGCACATGGCACACTTACTAAGAAATAATGACAGCCAGGATGCCCTCCTCTCACTGGGGCTGCCCAGAGCAGCCTGGGGTGGGGAGGAGGGGATATAGACTTCTAGTGTCCCCTACAGCATGAAGAAGTACCCTTCCCCTTGAAGGGGGTTCAGACATCCTGCTACTTACTCAATCCTGCCAACCTGCTCTGTCTGCTCTGTGGCACTGTCCCCTCGGCCCCCATGGGTTCCTAAGTGTGAAATCCCACAGAATCTGTCTTCACATTCAGCACCCTCCCTTTTCTCCCCAGGGGATGCCCCAGAGACCAACTCCACTTGGGAGCAATCTCAGAAGACATATATCCAGGATACCTGCTGTTGGCGGGCAGTGGCTCACAAAAGCCCATTTGACTCAGAGCTCTGAGGTGTTGGAAAGAACAGAATAATAATTCTACATCAAATAACGGGGCCTTTTGGGAAGTACAACTTACATGAGATTTAACTTCTACATCATACACCAGGCTGTCCCACAGCCCATGGAATTCAGCTGTGACAAAATAAAACAAAAACTTAACTTTAGTTAAGCAATTATTACACCTACCAGCTACATCTGCCCTGAGCCACGGATGCTCTCCCCTGCTCCACACATTGTGCTAAGATTCTGATCACCAGGAAGTTAAATTTTAAAAATTTTTCTTAAAATTAAATATGTAAAATAAATGCCAGTTATGTAGGACTTCTGACAGATAATTAACTGGGTAATTAACTCTTTTTGTCATGTTGTTATGCACAGTCGTCTTTTGTGGACCTGCGCTTTACACAGCACAGACCTTGAATCCATCCCTCTCCCTATAAGCCAACACTTGGGCAAGGCAGACCAAGCAGGTCTAGTCTAGCCATTAGGACATCAGGCATAAAACTTGATGACTGAGTCAATCCCAGGACTCTGCCTACAAGAATACGTGGGCAACTCCACGAACAAGCATCAAGACTGTAGGAGAAAGGAGTGGTCCAGCAGGACTGACCAACTGGGCAGGAAAGGAGAGTATGGTCACATTTCAGTGAACACCACCTGTGAGGCACCAGTCCAAAAGAACTCTCTACTTCCCTCCTTTGTGATATACTTCCCATTTCATAAGATATAAAATACCCTAAAATCCTACAAAACAAATGAACAAAATCTCCTTGGTTAACTGACCTGGTAAGTCTGAGGTGTGTGCCATCCTCTGACCTCGTGGACTCAGCATGCTCTACCTACTGTTACCATCACACCTACCTGCAGGCAGAACCCAGTGATTTGCAGCAATTATATTTTCTGTCTCTTCTTCCAAATTTTCACTGGTGGGGCCATCTTCATTCAGGTGGAAGATGTGAAGTGCAATAGTGCACATACTCAAATTGATGGGCTGTGATGAGAAGGAAAATCAAATAAACCTGCACAAATGGAAAATCACTCACTTTTGAAGGTGCAGCATGTTATAAACTAGTTCTAAGATTAGATAAAAAGGCTATTATTTTATTTCAGATTTAGAATAGCTCTTTTAAACATGTTTATCCCTCCCTCCCCTTTCAGAATATAACATCTATTTAAAAAAAAACTTATTGTTTTTATAATTACAAAAGTAACACCCTCGTTGAAAAGTTTCAATTATAGAATGAAGAATGTCAAAGTCCCCTCATCCAACCTCATAGATGTTTGCTATAACACATCTGCATATATCTGACCCAAAACTGATTTTATCAGTTTTCTAACCAAGCTTTTCCCACTTACTAGATCTTAGAGACATTTTAGGTCAGTAGATAGAAATCTCATTCTTTTTCATGGTTATATCGTATTTGGTGTGAATGTGTCAGATGTTTAACCAATCTCTGATGGATTGTTAAAATAGTTCAAATTGTTAGCTATTATTAACAATAATATTTGTTCATGTATCTCTACATTTATCTGTTAAGATAAATTCTTTGAGGTGAATCTGCAGTCAAAAATGAGAACATTAAAATGTTTACCCTGGCCAGTTTGGCTCAGTGGTTACAGTGTCAGCCCTCAGACCAGAGTTGCAGGTTCTATTCCGGTCAAGGGCACATGCCTCGGTTGTAGTTTGGACCCTGGCCCTGGTTGTGTGGGACCCAACCAGTCGATGTGTTTCTCTCACATTGATGTTTCTCTCTCCCTCCCTCCTACTCTATCTGAAGATAAATGAAAAAATGTGTCTTCAGGTGAGGATTAAAAAAAAAAAAGTTTAGTGGTTAGCACTCATGTCCTCCAATTAGGCTGTGCTAATTGTCCCTCCACAACAGTGTTGGAAAGCTCTCCAGTCCCACTCGGCTGGCCAAATTCAAATATGATGGTATCAGATATCAGTATGGATAAAACTCCAACAACGCCACAAATGTTGGTCCTAATATAAGAATGAAGAGATTCACCACATAAGCGTTACTTTAGTGCCATACCAATTCTTCCAAACTGATTCTTTATAAGACAGAAACTGTCCATATATCATGACGCATCTTCCTGAGGCAGACACTTTGGGTTGTTTTTACACTGGTAAGAAAATTGACCCTGGCTGGTTTGGCTCAGCAGTTAGAGCGTCAGCTCATGGACCAGAGAGTCCCGAGTTCAGTTCCTGCTAAGGTCATGTACCTTGGTTGCAATTTGTTCCCGGCCCCAGTTGGGGTTGTATGGGTGGCAACCAGTCGATGTGTCTCTCTCACATCAATGTTTCTCTCTCTCTCTCTTCCTCCCACTTTCCCTCCCGCTCTATCTGAAGATAAATGCAAAATAATGTCCTTGGGTGAGGATAAACAAACAAATAAACAAAAAACTGCCCCAATGCATCCACACTGTCATACATAGCTCCTCTTAGCTCCCATACAGGAACTTGGCAAGACGGTGGATGAAGCATTCTGTAAGCTGGACTAGAAGAAGAGATTCAAGAAGGGAAGCCCATTTCCTCATTGCTGTTGCCCCCACGTGTCCTGTGGTCTTAACACATGCTGACCACTCCATAAATTTTGTTGACTAAAAGAATAAGAGAAAAGGTACACAGACCTCGTCAGCACAGCCCTCTATTCTATAGTGCTGCATTCTAACTCCTGGTTTCCCCCCTCTCCCTGACAGTACTGACAGCATGCTGGCACGAGGACCACGTCTGCTCCCAGTACCTGGTTCCTGCCAGAGCGCCAGCTGATCGTCAAACCAGCAGGTGAGCAAAGCAAACCAGTCCTCACATACACTATCAAAGCAGCAAGCAGACATTCATGGCACCAACTTTCTATTCAGCTAAGGGCTGTTTCTTAGCACAGGGAATTAATAACTTACCTGTGAGTCTTTAACCTTTAATTCTGTGTCAACAATAGACACAGACTGCACATTTCTGGTCAGAAAAGGTTCATCAAACTCAGTCCATGTGTAATCACCAAACACAATATTATGTCTGTAAAGCAGCTTTTTAACACTCTGCTTTATATCTTCTTTTTTTGCTGTGCTAGACAAACAAACAAAACACAAAGATCAGTTCTAAATTAAAAAAACAAAATTTTAACAATATTAAAAAAAAAATCAGGTCCAGGCCAGCATGACTCAATGGTTAGAGCACTGGCCTGCTTACCAATGAATCACGGGTTCAATTCCCAGTTAAGGGCACATACCTGGCCTGCAGGTTCGATTCCACCCCTCTTGGGGTGCGCAAGAGAGGCAACCCACGGATGTGTCTCTCTCACATGGACGTTTCTCCCTCTTCCCTCCCTTTCTTCCACTCCCATCTAAAAATCAATGGTAAGAATATGCTCAGGTGAGAATCAACCAAAAAAGAAAGAAAGAGATCAGGGCATAATTAAGTGCAATAGTTAAGAGTACAGATTGGGCCTGCCTGGGGTCAAACCCAGTGCCACTCCCTGCCCACTAGCTGTGTGGCCTGGGGAGCCCAAGGTTTGGGGCCTCAGCTCTCCATCAGATAAAGGGGCCAGTGGCAACCGTTCTCACTGCGCTGGGCTACTTTGAAGGTTACTCAACACACCCGAAGTGTCTATAGGACAATGCCTGGCACATAGGAGAACGCAATAAACGTTGGCTGCTACTACCATTCGTGAGAGAAGGAAACCCCTTAGCCCGGGGTCAGGTCAAGCGTCTGCATTTCAACAAGCACCCAGGCTGGCGTTCACACGGAGAAAACCTACCAGCTCCGGCCGGCATTCCCGGCTCCTCCACCGCCCACCTTGCCATCTGCCGGCCGGCCGGCGGTTCTAAGGTCACACCGAGGTGTGCGATCTCTGTGTGTGCGGAATGCTGGCCCGACGACATCTACGAACACTTCCCCTACAACTGGGAGCGCTGAGTATCTGCCCGTCCCGACTTCCAGCTCTCCTGGGGTGCCCGGCTGGGCTCTGCGTGGGTCCCGTTCAGGGTTGGGCCAGATGGGTCGGGACCGTTACGGCGCCGTGGGCTCCAGTCTGGACTGAGTTATCCGTAGGGGCCACGCCCGGGCCGAGTCCTCTAAGGCCTACCGGGTCCTATCGGGTCGAGCTGGCCGGCTCACCTGCCGCTTCGCTGGTGCACCTCCACATGGACGGTCGGCGTCTCGGCCACGCAGGACAGCGCCTGCTTCAGGTCGCCCACGGCCTGGTCCATGGCGCCGCCGCCGCCGCCAGGAGCAGCGAGTACCAGACCCGATCGTGGCCGCCGCCTGACGCCGGGCGCCTCCACCACTTCCACCACCGCCTCCGCCAGAGCCGCTTCAAGGCCCGCCGGCCCTTCCCACGCTTTGAATCTGCCGCGCGCGGCGCCCCGGCTCCTGACCCGGAAGCGCTCTGGCCCGCAAGTGGGCGGGGCCACTTCCGGCCGTCGGGCCTACTTCCTGCGCGGCCCCACGGCCTCTACGGGGTGAGGGGGGGGCTACTAAGCCAGGGCCACGGGGGCGGCGGCCGCGCTCGGGCCGTGCTGCCTGCTGCCCTCGGCTTGCGCCCGCGCCCCGCCGCCGCCATGGGCAAGAAGCACAAGAAGCACAAGACCGAGTGGCGCTCGTCGTACGAAGGTGAGGCGGCGGGCGCGCTTTGTGACGCCGGGCCGGGTGGGCGTTCGCGCGGGCGGGCGGGCGAGGGTCCCGGGGACGCGCTAAGGATCGTAGCCGCGCGTGCTTTCGCGGTGGGCGGGGGCCTGGGCTCGCGGGGCGGGCGCTCGAGCTCTGAGTCTGGTCCACCTTCCACGTCCTGGAGAAAAGCCAAGCATCTGAGCGGATTGTGTCCGCGCCTCCGGGAAGCTCCTACCGCCCTGTCCTCCCGCCTTTCTCTGCCGGTGCCTAGTCCTGCAGCAGCTCGTTCCGTGTCAGCGGACAACAAGGGGGTGAACAGGGCCCAGGGGCTTGGGGATGCGGGATCGGGTCTCCGGGTCCCAGGTCCTGGCCTATTGCTTCCCCCCTCTCTCTGACTCCTTGAGGATAATGCAGTACGAGGGGGAAGAAAATGAAGAGGAAAGTGTAAGTAACACCCAGCTTCGCCTCACCATCTTTCCCTGACGTTTTAGTGTTCCCTTACTCTGCCTTAGTAGAGCCAGTCTTCATCTTTCTGGGACCTCCCCAGTAACACCCACACCAGTTGGGCCAGCTGTGCCATCCTCTTGGGTGGCGTTTTCACCTGAGGGTTGCGGTCTCTGTCTCTATAGATTACGCAGACAAACCCTTGGAGAAGCCCCTGAAACTGGTTCTCAAGGTTGGAGGAAGCGAAGTGACTGAACTCTCTGGATCTGGCCACGACTCCAGTTACTATGATGATAGATCAGACCATGAGCGAGAGAGGCACAAAGAAAAGAAGAAGAAAAAGAAGAAGAAGTCAGAGAAGGAGAAATATCTGGACGATGAAGAAAGAAGGAAGCGAAAGGTAAAGATGGATGGTGATCAGTGTGTGCTGGCCCCAAAACCCCTTGCAGGTGCAGACACAATGAGTGCTACAAGGCTAAGAAAAGGGGGGTGTTTTGTTTGCAGCAAAACAGACTACAAAGGTGGTTGCTTCAGTTCTGGCTCTTTGTGCATTGCATCTCCCCGATCCCTGGGGAGGGTCTGGAGTGAGAAGAGGCCCTGGAAGAGGGTGTTTCTTGTAGCTTTGTGTTTCCCCGTAGGAACAGGAGGCTTGTTTAAAACCGTTTGCATTGCTCTCACTGCCTTGACTTTGCCTCATAGGAAGAGAAGAAGCGGAAACGGGAAAAGGAACACTGCGACACAGAGGGAGAGGCTGATGACTTTGATCCTGGGAAGAAGGTAGAGGTGGAGCCACCTCCTGATCGTCCAGTCCGAGCATGCCGGACACAGCCAGGCAAGTGCTGGCATTTTCAAAGACTTTCTTGAGTGTTGTAGCCTGTCACTGTAAAGCAGTGGTTGGTGCTGTGTCCTTCAGCTTTTGGGGAGAAGCACAGAAGGAAGGAACAATGTTTTCTCTTCCAAGGCCTCACATGAAATATAGCTGGATCTGAGGTCCTTGCCATTATCTTTGAACTTCTAGAGCAGGATTTGGCCAATTGCTGCTCCTGTTTATTTGTTGTTTTTGTTGTTGTCTGGTAGTTTTTGGGTTTTTGTCATTGTTAATTCTCACACAAGGATATTTTTCCATTGATTTTTAGATAGAGTGGAAGGGAGGGAGGGAGAGAGAGAGACAGACAGACATCGATGTGAGAGACACATCTATTGGTTGCTGCCCACAGGACCCCAACCAGGGCAGGGGATCAAACCTGCAACATAGGTATGTGCCCTTGACTGGAAATTGAACCTGAGGCCTTTCAGTCTGTGGGCTGATGCTCTAACTGCTGAGCCAAACTGGCCAGGGCTTGGCCATTTTCTTTAAGCACATGAGCTAAGAAGCTCATCATCGATGGGTGGAGGAGGTTAGTGTTTCAGTCAGTTATTCAGGACTTCAGAAACATTGGGAGCTATGCTGGCTCCACCAAAAGAGAGCTTCTAGAACCTTCTGATCTGTGTGTGGTCACTTCCCTCAAAAGCTTCTAGATGATCGGGAGGTTTGCTCTTCAGGCGTTTCTTTTCTTGCTGGGGGAGGTAGGAGGTACTGTATTGCAGTTATGGTGGGGTGCTGTTTTCTGGCAGTACCCTCCCCTGTGTGAGTCATTGCCATGATGATCAGTTAGGACTCAGGGCAGCTGAGCATGTTGAGAAGAGAAGGTCAAGTGCAGACAACACTTCATTAAATGAATGTGTCTACAAAGTTACATGTGTCTACAGTCACTAGTAATTGTTATCTTAATTTGACTTACCTCCTTGAGGTCATACACAGGGTGCTTCCCTTTCAGCATGCCTGAAGAGCTAATGATCACATGATACTTTCCTGCTAATTCTGAAGAGGGTAACTGTTGGCGGCCTGCTGCTGTGTACTCCTGTTGTGCTTCAGCTTTAGTTCCTCAGTGGAGAATGGCATTTAGAAACCAAAGTTTGGGTGCTGGGTGTGGCCCTCAGTGGACAAAGCTAGGAAGGCCATTACATATATACAACTTCTAGAGGTAACCTAGATCCATCACCAAAAACCATGTTTTCACATGTGCGCCCAGAGACATAGCTAATAACTGCAGTGCTCACAATAATCTCTGTGCAGTGTGTATTCTTATTGCTGTTTTACACATGAAGAACAGACGTATCCAGAAGTTTAGTACTCAAGGGAAATATAGTTGATGAATCTAGGATCAACTTCTATATGCAAAGTCTGTTCTCCCCTTCATACCTTGTCTGGAATGTACCAGGCCCATTGATGATAGGGGCTAGAAATAGATTGATGACTGATAGCTACAACAATTTTAAGGGATGTTGGCACTTGGGTTTGGGGACTGATGTGTGGTTGTCCTTTCCACCCAGCTGAGCTTTGTGGAGGGCCAAGGCTGGGTCTGGTTTATCTTTGTATTCAGTTGTTATTTGAACGTTCTTGTTAAAACGCCGTGGAACTCGAAACAAATAAGTACGTACTGTGAAATTGGAGCTCTCCAGTGAAGTGATATCAAAATCTTTTTGTTCAATTTTATTTTTTTACTTTTTAAATCATCAGCTGAAAACGAGAGCACGCCTATTCAGCAACTACTAGAGCATTTCCTCCGCCAGCTCCAGAGGTAAAGAGTGTTTTTAAAGAGCTTGTGCTTGGGGACATTTGGGTGTCCTCCTCTCTGGTGTTCTTGCCTCATTACCATCATGTGTGAAAGTAGACACTTGGCTTTCACTGGTAATGCCCAGTCTGACTGGGTGGGCAAGCACCATTCGAGAGCAGAGTGGGGAGGGCTCTCTCAATGTGGGGGATTGTCAGAGACGCTATGATGTAGGTGTCATGGCTGCAGCCAGGATGCTAGTTTTGGAATTTTTAGTGTATTCAAATATACCTACCACAATTTTAAAGAGCATACATTTTATTTTTTATTTTTAAGAAATAAACTTTGGTCAATTACATTAAAATTTTTATTGTGAAGGATTTTGTATCATTCAGAAATATAGGTTTTAGGGGTTTCCAGTTTAAATAAAGATGTTTTTGTTTTCAGAAAAGATCCTCATGGATTTTTTGCTTTTCCTGTCACGGATGCAATTGCTCCTGGATACTCAATGATAATAAAACATCCAATGGATTTTGGCACAATGAAAGACAAAATCATGGCTAATGAATACAAGTCAGTCACAGAATTTAAGGTAAATTAATTTCAGTTCCTAAAATAATTGTTAGGAAGCTCTGAATTAGTTTATGTCCAGTAAACTATATTCAGTAAACACTTCATTCATCTTAGGTCATTTCCACTTGTAAGTTTTACCAGGTGTTTCTGTGTTTGGGTTGATGTTTCACAAACATAGCATCAAGGAAATGGATTGGTTGTAATTTTCTCTGTATTTTGGTCTAGAACAGCAATTTACAACCTTTTTTATCTCATGGCACACACAAACTAACTACTAAAATTCCGCGGCATATGAAAATATATCTTTTGCTAATCTGACAAAAATATAGGTATAATTTTTTTTTTTTAATTAATTAATTAATTTTATTTTTTTAATCCTCACTTGAGGACATTTTCCCATTTTTTTGTTCAGGTAGAGTGGGAGGGAGAGAGAGGAACAGAGAGAGAGAGAGAGAAACATCGATGTGAAAGGAACACATCGAGTGGCTGCTACCCGCACGACCGACCAGGGCCGGGGACAAACAGCAACCAAGGTACGCGCCCTTAGCGGGAACCGAACCCGGGTCTCTCAGGACCGCAGGCCGACGCTCTAACCGCTGAGCCAAACCGGCCTGGGCAATATAGGTATAATTTTGATTCATTCACACCAGATGGGTATTGTTTTAAATTTGATAAGGGAAAAGAGGTTAGTGCCCTTGAGTAAATAGTCTTGTATTGCGTGTTTTAAAAATTTTTGTAGCACACCGGTTGAAAATCACTGGTTTAGAAGCAGGCCTACATGTTACATGCTATGTGAAATGCATTTCCTTTTTTTTTTAAGTTACTGTGCTGGCATAAATGAGACATGTTAGGTTAAGCAAAGATGTGTCTTACTTGGCCTGGTTCCAGAATGGGTATTTTTAGAAATACAATTTTTCTATTTCTTTGTTTTGTAATAACTGAGAGTTTGGATTTTACAGAATA